CGAAATTGAAATAACGAAAAATTGGGAAATCAAATTATCAAGAAATCGAACAATCGAAGAATGGAAACATCGGAGTATCCATAAATCTAGAAAAAAAAAATAAAATCGACAAAATGAAAAAACTGAAATTCCAAAAATTGAAAAGTCCAGAAATTGAAAAATTCCCAAAATTGAAATGTTGAAAAATCGGAAAGTCGAAAAATTTTTTAAATCCAAAAACCGAAATTAAAAAGTGGAATTTAAAAATCGTAAAATTGAAAAATCGAAAAGTGTAAAATTTAAAACACTGAAAAATTAAAATACCGAAAAATCGAATCTTCAAAAAATCTAAAAATTGAAAAATATGAAACTTAAAAATCGAAAAATTGCTAAATCCAAAAGCCGAGAAGTTGAAAAATAGAAAAATCCAAAACATCTAAAGATCGAAAAGCCGAGAAGTCGAAAAATTGAAAAACGGAGAAATAAAAAATTCAAAATTTAAAAAATCGGAAAATTGAAGAATCAAAAAATTGGAAAATCGAAAAATTGAAAAATGGAAAAATCGAAAAGATGAATTATCGAAAAATTGAAAAATCGCGAAATCGAAACATCAAAAGATCGAAAAGTCGAAAGATCGAAAAATTGAGAAATGGAAGTGGAAAAACGGGAAAATTTAATATTGAAAAATTTTAACGATAAACCGAAAAAATGAAAAATCGAAACATCGAAAAACTGAAAAATTAATTCCGAAAAATTAAAAAACCGGAAAATCTAAATTCGAGAAGGCGAAAAATCGAAAGAAAACCGTTAAATCGACAACTGAAAACTCGGAATAACGAAAAACTGAAAAACTAATTCCGAAAAGTTGAAAAATCGAAAAATCTAAAAACAAGAAAAAATCGAAAGACTGTGAAGTCGAAACAACAAAAAAGTGAAAAATCTAAAATTTAAAAATTCGAAAAATAAAAAAAATCGAGCATTCAAAGCGTTAACAAATCGAAAAATCAAAATAATTGAAAAATCGAAATACATATTGAAAAATCCCAAATCTTAAACATTGAAAATTTGAGAAATCGAGAAATCGGAAAGACGAAAAATCGATTAATCGAGAAATTGAGAAATCGAAAAATCCAAAAATTTAGAACCGCCAAAAATTGAAAAATTGGAAAATCAAAAAATCGAAATCGAAAAATTGAAAAATCGTAAAAACGAAAGTCAAAAGATCTAGAAGTCGAAAGATCGAAAAATTGAGAAATGGAAGTGGCTAAAAATCGAAAAATTAGAAAATACAAAAGCTGAGAAGTCGAAAAATCGAAAAATCCAACATTTATAAAATCGAAAAGTTAAAAAAATCGAAAAGGCAGGAAGTCAAAAAATTGAAAAACGGAAAAATCAAGAAATTCAAAATTTAAAAAATTGGAAAATTGAAGAATCGAAAAACTGAAAACTCAAGACACTGTAAAATTCCAAAAGTGAAATGACGAAAAACTTGGAAAACTAAAAAATCGAAAAAGTGAACTCAAGAAATTGAAAAATTTCGAAACTGAAATGACGAAAAATTGGGATATCAAATTATCGAGAAATCGAACAATCGAAGAATGGAAACATCGGAACATCCATAAATCGAGAAAAAAATATACATAAAATCGACAAAACGGAAAAACTAAAATTCGAAAAATCAGAACATTCAAAAATTGAAAAATCCAGAAATTGAAAAATTCCCAAAATTAAAATGTTGAAAAATCGGAAAGTCGAAACATTTTTAAAATCCAAAAACCGAAATCTTAAGAAATGGAATTAAAAAATCGTAACATTGAAAAATCGAAAAATCAATAAACTGAAAAATCAAAAATTTGAAAAATATAAATATCGAAGATTTGAAAAACTGAAAAATCGAAAAGTGTAAAATTTAAAACACTGAAAATTTAAAATATAGAAAAATCGAAGAATCGGGAAATCGAATCTTCAGAAAATCTAAAAATTGAAAGATATGAAACTTAAAAATCGAAAAATTGCTAAATCCAAAAACCGAGAAGTTGAAATATCGAAAAATCCAAAACAACAAAAGATCGAAAAGCCGAGAAGTCCAAAAATTGAAAAACGGAGAAATAAAAAATTCAAAATTTAAAAAATCGAAAAAGCGTAAAATTCCAAAACTGAAATGACAAAAAAATTGGAAAATCGAAAAATTGAAAAATCGAAAAACCGAAAAGTTGAATTATCGAAAAACTGAGAAATCGTGAAATCGAAATCGAAAAATTGAAAAATCGCGAAATCGAAACATCAAAAGATCGAAAAATTGAGAAATGGAAATGGCTAAAAATCGAAATATGGGAAAATTTTAACGATAAACAGAAAAAATGAAAAATCGAAACATCGAAAAACTGAAAAATTAATTCCGAAAAATTGAAAACTCGGGAAATCTAAAAACGAGAAGGCGAAAAATCGAAAACTGAAAACTCGGAATAACGAAAAACTGAAAAATTAATTCCGAAGGCAAAAAATCGAAAGATTGTGAAATCGAAACAACAAAAAAGTGAAAAATCTAAAATTTAAAAATTCGAAAAATAAAAAAAATCGAGCATTCAAAGCGTTAACAAATCGAAAAATCAAAATAATTGAAAAATCGAAATACATATTGAAAAATCCCAAATCTTAAACATTGAAAATTTGAGAAATCGAGAAATCGGAAAGACGAAAAATCGATTAATCGAGAAATTGAGAAATCGAAAAATCCAAAAATTTAGAACCGCCAAAAATTGAAAAATTGGAAAATCAAAAAATCGAAATCGAAAAATTGAAAAATCGTAAAAACGAAAGTCAAAAGATCTAGAAGTCGAAAGATCGAAAAATTGAGAAATGGAAGTGGCTAAAAATCGAAAAATTAGAAAATACAAAAGCTGAGAAGTCGAAAAATCGAAAAATCCAACATTTATAAAATCGAAAAGTTAAAAAAATCGAAAAGGCAGGAAGTCAAAAAATTGAAAAACGGAAAAATCAAGAAATTCAAAATTTAAAAAATTGGAAAATTGAAGAATCGAAAAACTGAAAACTCAAGACACTGTAAAATTCCAAAAGTGAAATGACGAAAAACTTGGAAAACTAAAAAATCGAAAAAGTGAACTCAAGAAATTGAAAAATTTCGAAACTGAAATGACGAAAAATTGAGATATCAAATTATCGAAAAATCGAACAATCGAAGAATGGAAACATCGGAACATCCATAAATCGAGAAAAAAATATACATAAAATCGACAAAACGGAAAAACTAAAATTCGAAAAATCAGGACATTCAAAAATTGAAAAATCCAGAAATTGAAAAATTCCCAAAATTAAAATGTTGAAAAATCGGAAAGTCGAAACATTTTTAAAATTCAAAAACCGAAATCTTAAGAAATAGAATTAAAAAATCGTAACATTGAAAAATCGAAAAATCAATAAACTGAAAAATCAAAAATTTGAAAAATATAAATATCGAAGATTTGAAAAACTGAAAAATCGAAAAGTGTAAAATTTAAAACACTGAAAATTTAAAATATAGAAAAATCGAAGAATCGGGAAATCGAATCTTCAGAAAATCTAAAAATTGAAAGATATGAAACTTAAAAATCGAAAAATTGCTAAATCCAAAAGCCGAGAAGTTGAAATATCGAAAAATCCAAAACAACAAAAGATCGAAAAGCCGAGAAGTCCAAAAATTGAAAAACGGAGAAATAAAAAAAACAAAATTTAAAAAATCGAAAAAGCGTAAAATTCCAAAACTGAAATGACAAAAAAATTGGAAAATCGAAAAATTGAAAAATCGAAAAACCGAAAAGTTGAATTATCGAAAAACTGAGAAATCGTGAAATCGAAAAATTGAAAAATCGCGAAATCGAAACATCAAAAGATCGAAAAATTGAGAAATGGAAATGGCTAAAAATCGAAATATGGGAAAATTTTAACGATAAACAGGAAAAATGAAAAATCGAAACATCGAAAAACTGAAAAATTAATTCCGAAAAATTGAAAAACCGGAAAATCTAAAAACGAGAAGGCGAAAAATCGAAAGAAAACCCTTAAATCGACAACTGAAAACTCGGAATAACGAAAAACTGAAAAACTAATTCCGAAAAGTTGAAAAATCGAAAAACCTAAAAACAAGAAGGCAAAAAATTGAAAGATTGTGAAATCGAAACAACAAAAAAGTGAAAAATCTAAAATTTAAAAATTCGAAAAATAAAAAAAAATCGAGCATTCAGAACGTCAACAAATCGAAAAATCAAAAAATTGAAAAATCGAAAAATTTTATATTTAAAAAGTCGCAATATTTTGAAAAATCGAATAAACAAAAAATCAAAAACACGGAAAGTCGAAAAATCTAAAAATTAAAAAATCGAAGTACATAACAAACTTTAATCTTTGTCCATTTTATTCTGCCTGAGTGTTTAGGGAATTATGGCAATCCGCAGAGAGAAGGCGGAGGAGCTTAATACCCCTCACTGCTGGGTACCGACAATACTTTTGCGTGTGACAGTACAATTCTGAAGTGACGTCATCACATTATTATTTAGATTATTTAGATCAGACACATTTTGATTAGTGTTTCACTGTCTACATGATATTCTTAATATAAATAGAAAATTTTACAACAATCGGCCTAGTACTTTAGGAAATTATCTGTCTAATAATAATCGGGACGGCAGACAAGACAGACAGACAGACGGAAACGGGAGACCTATTTCTTCGTATAGTGTGTCAAAATTAATTAGAACAGATATAAAAATGAAGATTTAAAACAATTGAAATAATTACTTTATAAATGAAATCTAAATTGGCACTTTGAAACAAAAAATATTAAGTGAACGCCAAATGTGTATCATTGTTTTTTCATTTTTATTTTTAGAATTAATTTATCGAAAATCAGAAGAAAATAAAATCATCTTTAAAATTTCAACTAAGACATTAACTTGCGCAGAAATAAAGTTAGATAATCCAGTAATAAAGAAAAAAATAATTATGTTAGTGCAGCTAGAACGTACCATATCATTGCCAATAGCTGAAATATTGGCAGGAAATTTCGGCAAATCCCTTCCTTCAACAAAGACACTCTGGCCCCGATGAAACCACCTCTTTTCATATAATAATTTACCGTCTTCGATCCTCGTTTCAATCAAAGGTACATCATTAAAACTCGACGATATACTCAACGGACTTTGTAAATGGCCTGGACTTAGAGAATTATTATCATCTAAAAACGAAAAATCAAAAATAATTCCCAAAACAATAAACGCAAACAACAACCAGTACTTGGTTTCCTGACAGGAGTTAAAACTTTCCCTCGATTTATAATTTTTAGATCATTTTCAATTTCTTTCTCATCTAACAGGTAAGTGATTTGCGCTGTGGGCGCTTTTCTTCTTTTTTCTGGGACAGGAACTGGATCGTTTGGTCTTCGCCTCAACTTCCTCGTCATCACAGGTTTAACTTCCATCGAGTCACCCGTTAACTCCATAGAATACCGTTCCGCTTCTATTGTCTTTTTCTTATCTTCTAAGTCAGAAATCAGATTTTCCCTCAAATCGATTTTTTTGTCTTCAAATTCCTTAACAGCTGATTTTTTCTCAGCAACGTAATCACGTTCCACGCATTCAATTCTGTAATCCCTATACAAAATGTTTATTCGTATTCGTTCTCTATACTGACTTTCCAGTTTTTTCACTTTTTTGTTGTACTCATAGTGAGTACCGTCATTAAGTTGTTGTAGTTTCTTTTTAAGACTAGCGAGCTTGTCCTGATACATTTGCTCTTTGATTTCGAGAGGTTCTTCATGGCGTCCGGTATCGGTTTCACTGGCATCTTCGGTATCTAAAATTAATATTTATAACAAATTTATTAATAAAATTTCAATAATTAACCTTCATCGCTCTCATCGTGCGGATCTTCGTTTTCTCTGTCATCTTCGTCGTCAAAATTATCGTCTTCGTACTCGTAATCTTGATTATACGAGTTGGAGTACGGAGACCCCAAATAGGACATTTCTGTTAGCTGAATTTTGGAGCTTTTTTTAGAAAAATGGTGAAAATACACGTATCTGACTTATTTTTCAGTTACGATTTTAACTTGTTTGTAAACATGTAGGTTGAGGTTATGTTAAATGTCAGCAAAATCCAAAATGTCGGACTGACAATCCCTTATTAAGGAGCGTTTACACGATGGTTTCATTCTTCATCTTGTTCAAACCGAAAGAAAGAGAAACATAAAATCTGAAGTTGCATTAGTAAAGAAATACGAAATTTATCAGTGGGGGCTCGTGACCTTTTGAAATGGGGGAACACAATTTGATTGATGAGTTAAATGTCAAGAATAAAAGAGGTTGTTGTTACGAAGTTGTGTGACGGAAATAAATACAAAAATACATTCAATAAAAGTAAAAAAGTATTTGTCCACAGTTAATGACTGTGTATATTAAAAAAAAGGTAAATATAAGCCCCCCCCACCCGCCCTATCTCAATTGTGATAATTTTTTTTATCATCAAGATTTTTTTTTAATTCAAATGCAAAATTCTTATTATTTCTCTACAAGAAACTGCCATGTAAGATATTTGTTTGATTATCGTATTACTCAAACAATACTATGTATATTAAGAAAACAATTATAGCCAAAGATTAAGCCCTACACGTAGGGCCAGTTTATACAATATTTTAACTGAGATTAAGTTGATCGCGCATTTAACAAGGCCTTTAGCGACGTCTGATTGGCGTAGAGTCAGTCACATGGTACTTCAACGCGGGGTTAAAAATTAAATCGCAATTAAATATTTAATGAGGTTCTGTAAACCGGGTTTAATTGTTTTACATACTATTTTAATTTTAATAAAAAGAGCCGACCAATCGGCTGTTTAGCCGACCAGTCGCCGACTGCAGCCGACGATGAAAAACGGCCGAATAGTCGGCTTATCCGACCGGTCGGTCACTAGTCGGTACATCCCTAGTTTTCAGTTTCTTGTTGGGAAAAGAAGAGTTCCTATGTTAAGAAAAAATGTACAAAATATAAGCCCCGCCCACCCACCCGCTCTCAATTGTGATGATTTTTTTCATTCAAAAATCTTCATTTCTCCACAAATAAAATGATCATGTGAAATATGTTCTTAAAAGGGTAAAATTTTGTAGAGAAATATGAATTTTGCATATACGCCCTGCCCCTCGGTCTGACAATGAATAAAAAAAATCTTTACAATTGAGACAGGGTGGGTGGGTGGGGCTTATATTTTTTCCTTTTTTCTTAACATAAGTAGTCTTTTCACAACAAGAAACTTAAAACATGTTCAAAATTTTTGAAAACAAGTATGTATTTTATAATTACGCTGCGACGCTCAGTCTGACAACGAATATAAAATTCATCATAATTGAGATCGGGACTTTTTTTTAGTTACATATAGTTTTCTTTGAATAACGCTAGTTAAATGTATTTTCAGTTTCTTGTTGGGAAAAGAAGACTTCGTATGTTAAGAAAGAATCTACAAAATATTAGGCAGGTACCTGCCTAATTGCAAAATCCATATTTCCTTACAAGAATTTAGCATTTTAGAAGTGTTTTAAGTATCTAAGAATTAAAAAAATCATAACAATCGAGGTGGGGTGGGTGGGCGGGCTTTTATATTTTGCCTTTTTTTCTTAATATACATAGTATTCTTTGAACCAGATGATCCTCAAAAACAAGTTTTTAATTTGTTGTAAAAAATAAATAAAGAGAAACAATTGTACCTCTTCAAGTTGATTACCTGATAATTTTCTTCCCCTGTACTAGGGATGCAAGTAATTGGGGCACAATGCACAGTGTTGGGAATATACACGAAAAGGGTCTTATATTATACACTACATGTGTCTATTGGTAACTTAATTTTATTTAGTACCCTCATTTTTTATGATAATTTCTGCAATTTCATTATTATTGACCTTAAAATTTGAGATTAATATCAAAGGTGTATAAAATAGCAATTTACACGAAAATTGACAAGAGAACAAAATTTTATTAAAAACCCTATGTAGCGGAGCGACAACGAGATCAGAGCACTATAAAAGTGTGGTGATCGAACTTTCTCAATTTCATTCTAGAACACAGCAAAATTACCCATAAGTGGCGTTGTAGCGCGAGTGGAGTTTGGGGCTCCTGGTCGTGGCTGTTCTCCCACCACGACTAAGATTCTACTTTATCAGCAAGCTCTGCCGCACAGCACCCCTTCATCACGGAGATGTCATTCGAGCAGGCCGTTACGATCGCAAATTCGTGGTTGGGTCATCCCGACCGCCAGCTCAACAAGGAACCGCGCACTCCGTTTCCGCCACATGTTCCTGTGTTATTTACCTTAATTCCATTTAAATGTTCAAGTCCGATCACTCTGATACTAAACTACAACCGAACAAGTGTTAAAGTACCAAAAAGAGCAATAAACAACATTTAAATTCACTATACACTCTCGTGAAATTTTAAACACCAAAGATTGCGATTAAGATTGGATATCAAATAATTTATATGATGGAAACATTAATCAACAAAATATTTACAAAACAAAAACTAGCAAAGATTTATAAAGCAAAAAAAAAGATCTCGTATGAAGTAAAACTTGTGCAGACAAAAAAAATACGTGAGGTTAGGAACTGCAGAGCAAGAAAATTTACATCCAGTTTAAGTTATACAGCAAAGAAAATTACTGAACCTAAAATTACATGAGTTTAATATTTGTCACACTTTATCAACGATTCAAACAAAGAATTTACATAATGTTAAATTATGCTACGATCCAAGTGACGGTTACTTAAAACAATTAGCTTTGAGAAATATGCGTCTCGGTGATATAGTTTCCCACGTGGCGAGAAAAATGTCTCGGTGATGTGATGATGATACGATGATAACTGCCTAAGGAGAAAAATTTAATTTTCCCAGTTCACGATATTATAAATTCTACCACACTTTCACGGTCATTTTCCGAAAGTGGGACAACGTTAGATTGATTTAACTGCCGTAAATGAACAATTAGCAATCTTGTGTGAGGAATTAAGAAGTGTTTTAATGTAACACTTAAGTATAAGCATCCAGAAATCTTATTCATAATTTGATAAACAAAGGATGAGACCTGACTAAGTGAATTTCATAAAATCTCGTAGCAAGTGCATTATCCGAACAATCTTATGACCGTTGAATTGTATTAGAACCAGTTAACGATTAAAATTCTAACAAGAACTGTGAATTCACAAACAATAAATCAAATTTACATCACGTGTTGGCGTCGGTCGAAAATTCGCATATTTCCGCTTGGAAAAACCGCAAGAATTAGGCTTCCCCCTTTTTTTAACTACCAAACCAACTAAACTTAACCTAATTTCCTTACTGCGTGTTTTACTCACACCAAACGAAGCAACAGTGACGCCATAGAACAGAGTGACGCATCACATCCTTCTACAAAGCAAGCCAACTTCTACCAACCCTCTCACTAGATACTACTCCAGAAATTCCCGTAGAAGAGCTATCAACTACCAGAAAAGTACTAAACTTGCACATGGTTGCCTATATTTAACGATTTTCTTGATTTGATTTATTTATTTTTTTTAGTTCAAATTATTCAAATGCGATTTCGCGCCAATTTTTTTTTCAGCTCGAAATTTTAATTCAAATTTGGTCACCACAATACTGTTCTTTGGGTGAAAAACCAAAGGAGGTCATAGATTACGTAGATGAAATTTTCGTGCTGAATTTAATTAACAGCGGCGCGAAATCACATTTGAATAATTTGAATTTGAGAAAAAAATTTCAAATACAAAATCGTTAAACATAGGCAACCAGGTGCACGGTAACGCTTGTGGATAGTTGGATATGTGGTCACGCTAGGGGATTTTGGTTAGAGGCTTGGTTGAGGAGAACGGCTTGTTGAAAGCATGGGAAAGGTCATTACGTTTTTGTTCGGTGTAGTGGACGCATGGTGAAAAGACACTGAAAGTAGCTAGGTTAAATTAGCTGGTTTGGTAGTTAGTAAAAGGGAGGAAGCCTTTGTTTAACGAATCAATCGTAATTCCGATGACGACCAAGTTTTCCCCCAACACGTGTAGCTAATTCTTCACCACGTGGTGTAAATTTGTTTTATTGTTTGTAAAGTCACCAATCAAGTTATTTTTTTTTTAATCGTCAGCTAATGCTAACACAATTTAACAATCAGGATAATTTATATAAACCACTTATGTACTAGGAGATTTCATCAAATTCATTTAGTCAAAATAATAATTCTTTGTTTAACAAATTACGAATGAAGTTTCTGGTTGTATATATGTAAGTGTTACATTATAACACTTCTTAATTCTTCACACAAGATTGCTAATAGTTCATTTACGGTAGTTAAATTAACAAAATTCATTATACCGTGGACTGACAGGGGGGTTAAAATAATTTCTTCCCTTTGGCGATTATCATCGTTATTATCATCGTTATCATGATTACATCACTGAGGCATGTCCTCGCCACGCTAAAGATTGATTACATCACCGAAACGCTATTTCTTCGCAACGTTAAAATTTACATCATTGAGGTATTTCCTCGCAACGTTAAAATTTACATCACCAAGACGGTTTTTCCTGGCAACGATGACTGGATATTTTTGTGTTTATTTATTATGTGTTTTGTCGGGATAACCAGTTCGCGGTATTATAAACTCTCAAAGTAAATTGTTTTTGAATCATCGATTATAACTAAGGAAGGACAGTGTTACCAAAGAAACCACATATCACATAAAACAAAGCATATAGGGAATAAACACAACAAGGCACATATCAAATCAGGTCAAAATCAAAATAATAATTCGGGAATTAATGTTCAAATTCAAGCTGTGAGAAAATAATTCGGATGTAAGAAAATGACACATTAATATAACACTATAACTGGGTTCTATCAAATAAAAATGAAACAATTGAACCAAATTATCGCAAACACGAACAGATCGTAATTAGGTACTGTATTAGAACCATGAACAGTTGAAAATCTTAACATGAACTATAAATTTACAAACACTATAAGAAATCAAAATTACACAAAAATTAAATAAAATAGTTAAAGTTTTACACATGTCAGGGTAGAAAATCATTAATAAACTGATGTTACACTAATTACGCTCATTGGTGAGAACTATGACGTTAAATTCGATTCTTTTTGTTCAAACAGTTGCCCTTTGGTCTTTGGTGAAAGTACAATCAAAATTAGGTACCAATTTTAACACGTGCTTACACTCATTGCATCAAGCAAGAAGTGGATCAATATGCGTTCTCCCCGCATTCCAAAGCTCCTATCTCAAACCGAGGGCTTGTATTATTGAATGATTTTTCTTATTTTTAATTTTTCAAATGCAGTTTCGTGGAGTTGTTTTTTTTTTCTCTAGGCGCGAAATTTAAATTTCAAATTCAGAAGACTAAAACATATTAACCAAAAAAATATCTATAAAGCCTAAAGCATGTAAAAGAGATAATTTCAAAATACGAAACATGTTAACTTACTCTAAGAACTTCAAGTTGTTAATTGAGAAATATACTTAGCTATTTAACTTATATAAGAACTCGTAACACCATTAAAAATGAACAACCAAATGCTAGATTCTGTCAACTTACAACGTCAATATTATTGCCTTTCACAGAAAAGCGAGGAGAAAAGCATTCTAATATTGTATGCACTCGTGGTATAATGTTCTAATGTTGTTTACACTGAAGGTATTCGTAAGAACAAGTGTACTCATGAAGTTTACATACAAACACGGCCAGAAAATCTTGGACATCATGTAGACATATAAAGTCCAGCAAAAGATAAATGCAAAAGCCGTCAATTATTTTATGAGGGGTATCTAGTGCTTTGACCGCAATGTGCAATAAAACCATTACGCATTAGGAATGCATTTACTAAACAACAAACACGGTCCTGGAAAGGTACAAGGGTAGCGACTAATTTTGATTGACAGCTTTACACAGGGTACTTGAAACGTCAAAGTGACAGTAAAGCTTAGACTATATTCAATTTTTGAAATGGTTTGTCCGCCGGTGTATTAAATTTAAGGTCTTTTACTTATATGTCTTCCCTGAAACAATTAGGGTCATTATGTAAATAATGTGGCAATATTAACGAATGCCAAGTAATTACAAAAAGTGGGACACCCCAGTAATAAAAACGCCATAAAAAATACTATTTTCCTTGTAAATGGCAGTGACATAAATGTTCCCGATGACCACAAACCGCAAAAGTAAATAACACGAGCTAACGACTTCAAACAGGAAGATTCATTCCTAAGAGAAGACGCTAAAAAGGTCATTGCCATTTATCCAAAGCACTAAAAAAGTGTAAAGCTCCCTTTAGGAGAGATTTAAATGACAATTGACGTTTCCTCTCCCATAAATTGAGTACACACACACGTCACCATCTCTCTCTTTATTCAACGCGTGCAAATCACGGCCGACGTGTAGTCGAGCTCGCGCGAACGCACAACGCCTGTGACGTTTACTTTTTAGTTGTGCCTACAGTCTGTCAGAACTGTGTTTTATTTGTGTTAATTAATGTTATCTTTCGCTTTTGCGTCTAAATATCCAGTCAGTTTAAGTGAAACCGTCTGGGTGGAGAGAATGGTTTTTGTAACGAACGCTACTCCGTGTTGACATACCGTGTGATAAAAATAACACTAACGTCATTAAATGCAAAATAACTCAATAATAGTTAATTAGTTCTCCATACAATTACAGTACATGACTAAAATGTGATACAACAATCATAAGACTGAAAATAGGTTGTTATTAATCGATCGGCTGCTAAGAAAATGAGTGACACTGAAGACAATGAATTGGACCCTCGAATACAAGTCGAACTGGAAAAGCTGAACACTACAACTGATGAAATCAACAGATTAGAAATAGAATACGATGTGAGTAACCGGATTCTGATGTGTATCTCTTAGTAATGTTGTGTTTGTAGGAAGCTAATACTACATTCCGCATGCTGCTAAATGAATCAACGAGAAGGTTGAAAGTTCTCTCCAAAAAGCTAGGCAGCTGCATTGAACGCGCAAGGCCTTACTACGAAGCGTTGGAAATAGCGAAAAAAGCACAACAAGAATGCCAGAAAGCAGCTGTACAGTTTCAAAGAGCCAACGGTTAGCAGCCCTGAATCTTGCGAAAATCTTTTACATTTTGTTTTTACAGAAATTCATGCAGCAGCAAAAGAAACGGTAGCTTTAGCTGAACAGAGATTTCTTAGTAATCAACATGAATGGCAGTTCGATAATGCCTGGCAAGAGATGCTCAATCATGCCACTATTAAGGTAAACCAGCTAGATATTAATTTGTTTATTTGTATGCTAGTGTTTTTTTGCGTAATTAATATGTCATGAGGAGAGTTTATAATTGTCAATTTGTATGTTATTAACATATCTAGTATTCTGAAGGTTATGCTTTATGCTTCAGATGATATAGAGTTCAATGTAAATTATGGACCAAAAAGAGAATAACTGTAGTGGTGTTACTGGAGCGTTTTTTCGTGTACAATTGTACATACACAAAAATTCACTCTATTGATTTTTTTTTTAGTTGTTAACATCCTGATAAGAAATCTCATTGTTACAATGTATATTAATAGTTATCAGCTAATTGTAAATTACAATCGAGATGAGACATTTCAAATTCCATTACCGCGTTACCCTTGAAACCATCACGGGAATTTAGATACGGAAATATCACGTTTTGAATTATTGACCGAAATTATAAATTTAACGGTTTAATTTGTCGTGAAATTGCAGATGGTTAGTTCATTATTCCCATTAACTGGGGGACTTTTGCAATTAATTATAAATAATTTGGACGGTTTAAAGACTTCCCGAAAATAATATTTATAGTTTTCATTTGCAGTTGTCAAAGAATAATTCGTGTAAGTATTAAAAAAAATTGGTTCCCGCGTCTTTGAAGTACAGCTTTTTCGAAAAATAATAAAATTTAATTTTGGGAATGTTTAGACAACCCCCACACTTAAAATAATTGTTAAAGTACAGCTAATGCAGGGCGAGAACTGAACCCACGATATTCCTAATATACATACAAAATCTGAAAACAATCGGTCCAGTAGTTTCGGAAGTTAAATTAAATATTAAAATCCTCGATGAATTTAACACTGGCTTAAAATGTGGAATGGGAGCGCGTGATTGGTTAAAACGTGCACGTCGCTTAGCAACGGACCTCAATTAAAAGTTAATCGCGAATGAACTGTAATTTCGGTTTCTATAAACCAGGTCTTAGTTTTCTTTGGAAAACACGATTACTTAAAAACACATTTCATATGGTAATTTCTCGTGGAAAAATAAGGATTTTACAAATTAAGTTCCGCTCCTCGGCTTACGATGATTAAAAAAAAAACCATCACAATATTTTGTCTTTTTTTTTTTCTTAATATACATAGCCATATTTTCACAACAAGAAACTTAGAACATAGTTAAAATGGTACTTTTTTGCAAGAAAATGGATTTTGTAATTATGGGGCGCAGCCTAATTGCAAAATCAATATTTCCTTATACACATTCTCCATTTTAAACATGTTTTAAGTTTCATCTTGTGAAAAAAATCTACACACATTAAAAAAAAAGGCAAAATGTAAGCCCCCCCCCCACCCGCCCTATCTCAATTGTGATGATTTTTTTTTTATTCACCGTGAACCAAGGGGCGGAGCTTAACTGCAAAATATTAATTTTCTTTACAAGAAATTAAAATAATGTTTTCGAGTTTCGTGTTGTTCAAAGAATACCATGTATATTAAGAAAAAACGGCAAAATATAAGCCCCGCCCACCCGCCCTATCTCAATTATAATGATTTTTTTTTTATTCGCCGTAAACCAAGAGGGCGAAGCTTAACTGCAAAATATTTTTTTTTTACGAGAAATTAAAATCATGTTTTTGAGTATCGTGTTGTTCAAAAAATAATATGTACAACTGGAAAACGGTAAAATATAAGCCCCACCCACCCACTCTATCTCAATTGCGATTATTTTTTTTATTCATCGTGAAGCAAGGGGCGGAGCTTAACTGCAAAATATTTTTTTTTTTTTTTACAAGAAATTAAAATCATGTTTTTGAGTACCGTGTTGTTCAAAGAATACAGCTGGTTTCACAAAAAACGGGACAAATGACAGTGACATGAACGTCATATTCCCATTGCTTTTCATTGATCTATGAGAACCTGATTTGCTCATGTTTCCTGTTTTTTGTGACACCAGCTGTATATTAAGAAAAAACGGCAAAATATAAGCCCCGCCCACCCGCCCTATCTCAATTCCGATGATTTTTTTATTCACCGTGAACCAAGGGGGCGGAGCTTAACTGCAAAATACTTATTTTTTTTTACAAGAAATTAAAATCATGTTTTTGAGTACCGTGTTGTTCAAAGAATACAGCTGGTTTCACAAAAAACGGGACAAATGACAGTGACATGAACGTCATATTCCCATTGCTTTTCATTGATCTATGAGAACCTGATTTGCTCATGTTTCCTGTTTTTTGTGACACCAGCTGTATATTAAGAAAAAACGGCAAAATATAAGCCCCGCCCACCCGCCCTATCTCAATTCCGATGATTTTTTTATTCACCGTGAACCAAGGGGGCGGAGCTTAACTGCAAAATACTTATTTTTTTTTACAAGAAATTAAAATCATGTTTTTGAGTACCGTGTTGTTCAAAGAATACAGCTGGTTTCACAAAAAACGGGACAAATGACAGTGACATGACCGTCATATTCCCATTGCTTTTCATTGATCTATGAGAACCTGATTTGCTCATGTTTCCTGTTTTTTGTGAAACCAGCTGTATATTAAGAAAAAACGGCAAAATATAAGCACCGCCCACCCGCCCTATCTCAATTCCGATGATTTTTTTTATTCACCGTGAACCAAGGGGGCGGAGCTTAACTGCAAAATACTTATTTTTTCTTACAAGAAATTAAAAACATGTTTTTGAGTATCGTGTTGTTTCAAGAATACTATGGATGTTTAGAAAAAACGGAAAAATATAAACCCCGCCCACCCACCCTATCTTAATTGTGATTATTTTTTTTATGCACCGTAAACCAAGGGGGCGAAGCTTAACTGCAAAATGTTTATTTTTTTACAAGAAATTAAAATCATGTTTTTGAGTATCGTGTTGTTTAAAGAATACTATGTACAGCTGGTTTCACAAAAAACGGAACAAATGACAGTGACATGAACGTCATATTCCCATTCCTTTTCATTGATCTATGAGAACCTGATTTGCTCATCTTTTCCCGGTTTTTGTAAAATCAGCTGTATGTTAAGAAAAAACGGTAAAATATAAGCCCCGCCCGCCCGCCCTATCTCAATTGTGATAATTTTTTTTATTCACCGTGAACCAAGGGGGCGGGGCTTAACTGCAAAATACTTATTTTTTAAAAGAAATTTAAAACATGTTTTTGAGTATCATGTTGTTTAAAGAATACTATGTATATTAAGAAAAAAAAAGGCAAAATATAAACCCCGCCCACCCACCCCATCTCAATTGGGATGATTTTTTTATTCGTAGAAACTTAAAACACCTTTAAAATGGTAAATATGGATTTTGCAATCAGGCTCCTCCTCTAGGTCTGCCAACGAATGAAAACACTTCATTACTACCTAGATCAGGACAGGTTTTGGATGGGCTTAATCTTTGGCTTTAATTTTTTCTTAATATACAAAGTATTCTTTCAATAACACGATACTCAAAAACATGTCATATGGTAATTTCTTCTAGAGAAATAATAGGGATTTTGCAATTAAATTGCGATTTTTTGGCTTAAAAAAATCATGACAATTGAGATAGGGTGGGTGGGCGGGGCTTATATTTTGCCTCTTTTCTTAATATACGTAGTCGTCTCTTCAGAACAAAAAACTTAAAACATGTTTAAAATGGTAAATGCTTGTAGTAATCAACTTAAATTCTCCAGTTTCCTTCGACTTTTCTAAAATTTTGCCAACGCGTTAAGGTTATTGGAAAACTCGTTCCTATATCAAAGTTTTAGAGACAAATTCTATTTAAAATGTATATAAATATTTCTATTTGTGATTTTTCAGTGCAATTTGAAACTTCTAAACTATAATAGTTGAAACTTAGCACTTGTTTTGAGGTTATTAACCTGATAGATTGCCAACCAAAACGTGCGCATTCATCCCACCAAAATTGTGATGACATCACCCCAAAAATTTGCCAAAATCCTGATTGAAACGTGTAAAATATTGAATTATTAATCCATCAATATTTTTATGCAATATATATAAAAAAATACAGAATCAGCTTTTATCATTACTTGAGAAACTTTTATTTGATTGGGCTTTCTTCACAATCCTTCTCGGAATTGAAATGAAAATTATTGCGTCTGTAAGCTTTGTTTACATAATTATTTTTTTATTGAAATGGTTTTCCGTTTAATGTTTTAATTTTCTCGAAAAACCAGTGCTAACCGATTTTTATTGGTTCTGTTTAACATGTGCTCTTAATTACCAGTGTAGAATACTTCATCAGTCAGAGGAAGACGATGTAAATGACATTTATGCGATTTTAAGAATTAATAAATACTGGAATTTGTGCTATTTAAAGCGGCGTTTATCGACATGAAGTGACCTTTTTGCAGTACAGAATCACCTTCACATACTTTTGCTTCAAACGCAAATTTTGCCCTGCAGTACAACACGTGATATACCTAAAGCATGGAATAAAAATAAACATATAATAAATAATGTCATAAATTTCAAAGTCGTACGTTGAAAATTATTGTTATCAAGTGGGTATTGTGCTTAATAACAATGTTTCATATTTCCAACTAAGAAAAATTTCTGTGCATAATTATTTATTTAGTCTGCATTGTCGCTTATTAATAAATACCTCGTTTTACCTACTTTCACGCCCTTCTTTATGCAGAAACTTGGTACATCTAGTTTGTTATTATCACAGTTTTACTTTTGTTTTTTCCTTTTGAAATACTGGTTACACATGTGTGATAAATTTTATAATTATTTTAGTTCACACTGCAGTAATACGTTGTAATAATGTAGAAAATAATGTGATCCCGAAAAAGTCGTGTATTAATTCTCAAGATTCTTTGTGAAATATTTGGTTCCGCAATATTTATAATTCCTTACGACTTTTGTGTACCGTTATTATTTGTAATAACGTATTAATTATGAGTTTATAAAAAAAAAATGTTCAGTGAATAACTAAAAATTTTAGAATGGTGACAAGAACGAACTCGTACCTGTAATATAATGTTTTTGAAAACTACAAACACCATTA